AAGTTGAACACTAACCGGATTTGTCAGGCCATGTTATGTTCGTTGCAATAGATTGGATGAGTTTCGTCGTAAATGCACTAGTGAGCGGTCAGTTATGCAGCTGCAATACCTTCCTGATATTGATCTGACTAAAAAAAACAAGTCATCCTTATCACTCGGTTATATGCCATGTACCAGCGATCCATAAAAGCACTGATACCTCTCGTTCTTCTCTTCCTGGCTGTCAGCATCACCAATGGGGTGATCGCCGCAATATCAATGAGGGTTATTTCAGCGGGTAAGCTTAATTAACTGATTCAAGTGCACAACGCTCATTGATGAATACCAGAGGAGTTTGTTCTTTCCGGCACCTATCAGTGCAGTTTTGACTATGGCGGAGATGTTCTACTTCTGGATACTATCAGTTGGATACTCGGAACTGTATGGGAGGTTTTCGCACTGTGTCTCGCAGTCTGGATTGCTGTAAAACACTTCCGTGAACTGCAACAACAATCAGGCGGACGGATCATCGAAAACTGTTTGACGGTGTTGATAAAAAGTCACATGGGTTACTTTGGGAGGTGAGCTCATGACAAAAACACACTTCTCTTTTTTCGCTGAAGGCAAGTGCGTGCTACATAGTTATCTTGCAACTTCTTGCTTCAACCTCGGTCATTTTTCTCCAGCCATCTCAGGGGTACGCTATCTTGTCACTGACCTCTACATGCATCCACGGTTCATCATTTCTATAGAACCCATATTCCACGGGAAGTCAAATCTATGCTGGTGTTGCTCAAATTCTCTTGTCCGTGCAGATGTATGTGCTGGGACCGCGCCTTGTCCTTAGCATTCGAGAATATCACGCCAAACTCGTAGCCGACTCCGATGCAGCAACCGCCATGACTTCAATTGCTTTCCAGGAGCGCGTATATGTGTCAACTAGCAGCACTGTGTAGCAGGGAGACACACAATGCGATTGACACTCGTCTGGTTCTGCGAGGAGCAGGAGAGAGAGAGAGAGAAATTCTATATTTATATACCGCAACAAACAAAGTGAGCTGTTAAGACGCGGTGCCCTGTTAGGGCTGTGCTGGGGAGTGTTGTAACAGGGTGAGGGATGTAGGTATAGTACGAATAGCCAAGCGGTCCGCGTTTGATGAGTTTTGGTGTGCGTGTGGGCTCGTTTGGTGTCCAGGCTTAGTATAATATGATACACTTTCTCTCCTTCCTCCTCCTTCTGATCTCTCCTCGTCTCCTCCTTCCCTCGTCACTTCCTTCTTTGCCCTTACTCAGGCTTCTGTCCCTCTCCTTTCTTCCCAGTCTCCTTCTCGTTCCAGTGCGACCTTCTTGAATGCGCTGGATTCTTGAATAAACTTCGCTAGTGCCTTTATGCCCTTCTCCGTACCCAAAATTTCGCTGAGTATGATGTTGTGTGATACCTCACGCAGATGGATGCGTTGTCGCGCAAATAGTGGGCAGTCACGTATGATATGTTCTCGTGTTTGACGTGGTTCTCCACATGGGCAGAGGGTGGGTTCGGTTGGAACGAATGCAGCGTAGTATTCTCCCATGAATCCGTGTCCTGTGCGGCATTGTATAAGACGGCCGTATACTTCTCGAGGAGTGTGAGTGAAATGTTGGCGGGGTTTGAGCGTTGGTGGGAGTCGATTTGCGAGAGCGAAGCGTCCAGTCTGTGCTGCCACGTCTCTATTCCAACTCTCTGTCCATTTCTGCAAGATCCCTTCCTTGTTTCTTCGGCGCGCATTTGCATAGGTCGAGTGGTACGAGTCGTTACGTCCAGTGGCTTCTTTTGCAAGCTCGTCGGCACGTTCGTTGCCGATGATGTTGTGATGTCCTGGGATCCATGCAATTTGGACATGATGGAGGGGGGATGTGGTTAGGTAGTCTTCGATCGAGCGTCTGATCTGTAATGCAATGTATTGTGAGGGTCCGGGTGCAGCTGCATATGCAGCCTGCACCACAGAGTTGTTATCGACGTAGAAATGTAAATGGGTCACCTGGGAATTTTGCGCGAAGCTGATAGCTCGCGATATTGCTCGAAGGAGCGCTACCATCTCTGCATCATACACCTCTGCTTTGGGACCCATTCCTTCCTGACCCCAGAAGACTTCTCTTCCTCTGTGATAGCCGGCCCATCCTGCTCCAGCTCTTTCCTCCTCTCTGACTGATTGTTTCGATCCGTCTGAGTAAACGAGAAGGTGCGTGTCCTCCGTTCGTAGATTACGAGCGGTTTGTATGTGCGCTTTGGCGGCTTCTTTCTTGCCTCCTCTTTGCTTGTCCGAGATCGTTAGGCGGCCGCGGTACGTTTCCTTCGTGTTTGCCCAAGGTGGCAGCGCAAATATGTTGATGCGTTCCGCGTTCGGGGATGCTCGTTTTGACAGACGGGTGAGTCTGGTCGATTTTGGTGGTTTGCGGCTGCGAGGACGGTATTTGTCGGTGGGAAGAGCGGGTGGGGGGTCAGCGAGGTTAAATTGTCGCCAGGGTTGATCAAGTCTCTGTAGGATTGGGTTGAACGAGGGGAGTTTGAGTAGTCGAGTGGCGGCGTTATCGTTTGCGTGTTCGAGGAAGAGGTTGATGGGGGGGATTGATGTCTCTATTTCTAGGGCCTTTATTGGGGTGGTTCGGAAAGCGGCACAGATATGTCTAAGGGATTTGTTTTGGACGCGGGTAAGCATGTTTGCATGGGTTTTCACGCCCGTCCACCAAACGGGGCTTGCGTATGTCATTACACTGCGGACACAAGCCGAGTATACAGTTCTCAATAGTGATTGCGAGAGACCTCTTACCGTATTTGCAAGCATTTGTAGTCCTTGGGCGATATTTTCCGCTTTGCCTGCCAGTTCACATACATTCCTGCGAAAAGAGAGTTTAGAGTCGAAATATATACCAAGCCATTTGATACAGTCACGGGGGTTAATTGTCACCTGTCCTTCGTCACTAGGCAGCAGGATAGGTGGTCGATCCGGTGCACGACGCCATGTGAAATGGATGAGCTCAGATTTGTCAATTTCCGCCATCAGTCCAGCTTCGCGAAGCCAATTGTTCACAAAAATGAACTCCTCCCGGAGTATTGCGACATTGTTCTCCAAGGATGGAGAGGAGACATATAAGTTTCCATCATCGATGTAGCATGCTAATGTGGTCGGTGTGGCTTTGTCCGGGCGTAATTCACGAGCTCGAGTTTTCGCATTGTAGGCTTCGTTTAGTGGGCTTGTGCAGATAATCGAAAGGGCCGGTGATATTGGGGATCCTTGAGGTATACCGTTTTCGACTGGTTCCGATGGTGACAGTACTCCGTCCAGGCAGATTGCTGCTTGTCGTTCGCTGAGGAAGGATTTCACCCACTTTACCATAGGGAGCGGTAGGTGCTTGTCCCGAAGTATTCGGAGTAGCCGTGTATGATTGACGAAGTCGAAGTATCCTTTGATGTCGAATGTGATGCACGACGTGACAAGTCCGTGATTACGGGCTGCTTCGATATCATGAACGAATGATAGGGCTGCGTCGACTGTGGAGCTTCCTGGGCGGCCTCCGAACTGTGAAGAAGGTACCAGCAGATATTTTGCTGTGAGATATGCTAATCTACTTGCCTGTACGCTTTCGAGGACTTTTCCAAGACATTCCTCTAGCTGGATTAGTCTATAGGCTCTCGGGTTCGAATAGTCTGGTTTTCGGGGCTTGCGCAGGGCTACTGCGATTGTGCGTCGCCAGGCGATGGGATGGTAGCCTACATTTGCGCAGCGTGAGATTAGTAAGTAGATATATTCCGATGCAACCTCCCAGGCCCATCGGAGAGCCATGTAGTTGATTTGGCTGGGTCCAGGAGCTTTTTTGCGATTTGGTCGGTATATACCATTCTTCACTTCGGCATATGTTATGGGTTCCCATGGGATGTCATCCGGGAGGTCCTGTTCTAAATCTGGTGCAGCTAAGTCTAGATTCGGGGGCGGTTGGAACAGTTCACCTCGTAGTGTAGCACACTTTTCCTCATGTGTTATTGCCATGTTTTGACCGTTGTTTCGTCTGAGTGGTGGCGTGGGGTAGTTTCTTATCCCTTTGGGCCATCGAGTGAAATTCCAGACGTCATCGGGAGTGGCTTTTCCCAGAGTCTCGTTTGCCCACTGTCGTTTAGCAAGGCGTGTCTTCCGTTTGAACTGATTGCGTAGTTGGCGGATCTGTTGGATAAGGTCGTGGTCAGCAAAACCTGTATCGATGAGATGTTGTCTAGCCCTTTCACGAGTTTCTGCAATGCGGTTGAGTGATTGCGTGAGGTCGGGAGTCCACCATGGTTTCGCATGTGCACTAGATTTGCGGATGGGGACCGAGCTTTCTGTTGCTTGCACCAGTGCATCTTGTAGTGCTGTGGTAGCTCTTTCAATATCATCAATATTAGGAAGAGTTGAAACACGTAGCGGTATCCATGCGTCTTCTCTATCCGTCAGTTCTCTCATGAACGCTCCTTTCCATGCTTTGATCGTGTCTTCATCGATATCTTTCCAATTGAATCGTTGAGCCGTGATATTCTCGATGGGGACACGTTCATGGTCTAGTGTCCATGTGAGCGCTGCGTGGTCTGATCCGTAGGCTTTACCGTAGTCGATTGACCAGTCCTTGATCGTGTCGAGTTCGTATGCTCTGTCGTTGATGAATGTTAGGTCCAAGACCGACGAGGATTCACCGTCGTGTGCGAAGTATGTTGTTGCCCCACGTTCGTTTAGCATGATGAATCCCTGGTCAGTTAGCCAGTCAACGAAAGCTTCTGCACGAGGATTGGGGTTCTCAGCTGTGTTTGACCACATTGGGTGGTGTAGGTTCATATCTCCCGAGATGATGACCGGTATTCCGTTTGGTAGTTCGATGTTGAAAAGACGGTCTGCTGACCAGTTCAATGGATCCTCGCCTGCTTTCTGGTTGTACATATTTACAAGTATTGTAGGCGGATGTGTTCCTTGGTTGATCTGTAAAATTTGTATGTCAGCATCCATTGCGAGATCAGAACGAAGGGTAACCATGAAGTCAGGTCTGTTTTGCGAGGAGCAGGAGAATTTGTTCTTTTGGTTCGAAGTTTTGTCGTGGTACTGATTTAAATTATTTGGTGCTCCGAAGAAGATTTGAATTTCGGGAAAGAGATATGGGAAATTCTAGAGCAAGTGAAGGTCAAGTTTGAAGTACGAAGGAGGCTCGCCGTGTTATACTATGAGTATTACCATCCACCTACATCAGGAAACAGGCCCCAGTGTCATTTTGATGCAAGAATTTGTTGCAGTTGTAGGGATGCAGTGATGCATTGCTGATGTATCTGTAGTGCATCCAAAAGTGTCACATCCATCAGTCTGACCCCGGATGAATGCTATCTTGTTAGCGCATCGAGTGACTGTTCAGTTCACATATGGGACCTCAAGATCATTCAGCCAGTTGGAGATCCACTCTTGCACGACGATCAACTATTCACTGTTGCTATGTCCCCCGATGGAAAATACATTACCAATGCTGGATCGGACGCAAAAATCTATGTATGGAGCCTTGAGGCAGCACTCAAACAGCAGGGTCATGATAATGTGAGTGTGCTTATGTGCTGTCTGCATCTTTTCTAAGCAGGTTTGATTGTCATTTTGGTTGTCATTCAGAGTGCGGATGGTGGCAATGCAAAGCACGACATGAAGCTCAAAGCAAGTTACCCATTCTTCTCGTTCACACTGCATCTCAGTTATTCGCCAGGGACTTGATGCTCGTTGGCTCTCTAAACAGCAGGTGAATAACAGAGGCTTGGCGAAATATGTCATTATAGCTTTTCATTTATGACCTTTCGCAAGCCTGACACTGATACAGGGCGATAACTTCTGGGACACTGATATAAACCGTGCACCTCATCGCGCCACTCCTGCTGCAGGCCTATCATCCCCCCCTCATTGGTGCAATCTATTTGGTTCGCTGG